GATCTAAGTAAGAGTTTTTTCTTTCCGATTTGTAAAAAATCCTCACGTGGTAGAAAAAAAATATTTTCGAAATGTGAGTAGCTGAATTATAGAAAATCCGTTATTAAAACCAAAACAACTTTTATGAAGTTTAAATTCGCACGCCTGTGTAATAAATACAGTAGCACTGTTTTCCCACAAGTTCATTTATATTTCCCTTTTGTTTAATTGAAGAATCTTAGCAAACGTTGCATTTACTGTTATGATTTTTTTCCCAGTGAAATATTCCTTGAGATAGTAAAATGATCAAGTGAAACACAAGTTTTGGTAAAGTTACTGATCTAAATTTGTTTCTAAATTAGCAACGTGATAAACAAAAACGACTACTACATTGTTTTAGATTTTTGTCGACGTAGATCAGCATTTTGGAGTGATCTTTCATAAACGGTAAAAATTCCGTATTGATCTCCAATACTGTACTGCTAAATTAACTTACTCTTGGGTGAAAGTTAGCACTAGTAATTTCGTTTTAAGCACTTAGTTTTGGCTAATTAAATAGCTAAAATTACATTCGTATATAAAACATTTTCTCGTTATAAGGTGTAGGCTTTGTTAATACAGATATTCGTTTTAGAGCTTCTTTGATATTCATAGAATAAACTGTTTTGTTATGTAACTGACCACAAAAGAATGAAACCATAACTACTGATTCAGGATATAAATAACCTTATGCAAAGCACTATATAATAATAAATTTAATATAATTAGAACCGTAGTGTTACGGAAAGTATTATAACAGTGGAATCTCGTTGATGATAGCCTGATCTATTAACAACCAACCAAAAGAGAGATTTGTTTTATCTCTAGTCTTACGAATTGTTAAATATGCCGATTACGATGTTGTATAGTTTTATATTATTTGTCTACTTTGGAATATTTTGATCAGTTACTTTGATTCCACAAAATATAAAATTCAAAAACGTACCTTTTCTGTTGCTGCCAAACGTATTCAATTGCAAAATTATTACAAGGTTCCTAATTGGATCGCTAATTTTAATCCATTTAAAACATATGTTTTAAGTAATTTGATATTGTCCATAATATTTTTTATTTTTTTCTTAGTTTTTACAAAAACATGTGAACAGATTCAACAGGCAACACTATTCCGCAGTTATCATGTCAGATGTATTCCAATGGCGGACTATTTAAAATTTTAGTCATATGTTGTTTCTTTAGAATGAATTATAAGCTTCTTATTATACGATTAAGTTGTAAGCTAAAATATACTATTGTTTCGCAAATCATATTCAGTGATAAAAGTTGAAAACTACGCGTTTCAACAGAAACAAGTATATAATAAATTGATGTTTCTCCCAATAAAGCATCAATAAGTCATAGAAAGTATTCGCTATATTAAGACTAATATATTTCAGAAGAGCAAAATGAACGTATTTCACCACTTGCATATACTTTCTCAAATATGAATGACCTATTAAAGGACCTGGTGAAGACGTGGCTTACATTCGATTGTGGTGAAATGTACTAACTAACAATAAGTGAGAAGAACAAAAACAGGGAAAAGATACAAAGTAAATTGAGATATGTTAGCTTGATTACATCAACTTTGTTAACATCATGAGCTAATTCTGAGTCCAGTGAAACATGTGTATCTAATGCACTCATTACGTTAAAATTATGTATCAACTTACTGTACATGTACAAGTTATGTGTAAGCTTACTGTACATGTTAAAATTATGTATAAGCTTACTGTACATGTACAAGTTATGTGTAAGCTTACTGTACATGTTAAAATTATGTATAAGCTTATTATACATGTTAAAAGTATGTATAAACTTATTATACATGTTCAAATTATCTATAAGCTTACCGTACATGTTAAATTATGTACAAGCTTACTGTACATGTTAAAATTATGTACAAGCTTACTGTACATGTTAAAATTATGTATAAACTTACTATTCATGTTAAAATTATACACAAGCTTACTGTACATGTTACAATTATGTATAAGCTTATTGTACATGTTAAAATTATGTATAAACTTACTATACATGTTAAAATTATGTATAAGCTTACTGTAAATGTTAAAATTATGTATAAGCTTACTGTACATGTTAAAATTATGTATAAACTTACTATTCATGTTAAAATTATGTATAAACATACTGTACATGTTAAAAATATGTGTAAACTTACTGTAAAAGTTAAAATTATGTATAAACTTACTGTACATGTAAAAAATATGTATAAACGTACTGCACAATGCAGGGCGATCAAAATGAAAAGTGAAACTGTAATAATAAATATTATCATTGGGACACTCATATAAATGTTAGAAATGCAATATTGTAAACTAAAAGCACAACGGGGCTAGGTGTGTCCTGATTGTATTAGTGTGCCGTGTACTACAAACCTTCCTTTGCTGGATAAAGGAACTCCGTAATCTAAAGCTGTAGCGACGTAATGAGAATTACAGTCAAATCCCTTTATTTGATTACGGTAGCCTAAGAGTTGGCGGTGGGTGCTTTTTCAAGAGGTCTTCCCTCTAGTCTATCAGTTCAAAATTAGAGACGGTTTGTGCATATAGCCTTGTGTAGCTTTGCTTGAAATAACGAAACTCTCAAACTAAACGTACAATACATTTCAGGAATTCTAAAACAGAGAGAGAGATGAAGAGATTCTTATGCGTTATGAAAAGGAGTGAAACCATATGACCACCTTTTCACACTAAGCACAGTTTCATTTTAATAAGATGGATCTCTCTCTTCATGGTCAGTAGTGTTTGGAAAGAAATATTAGTAAAAGCCAAAATAAATGTTTTCATTTCATCTAGTGTACTCAAATTTGGTTGCTGTTTTTTCTTGGCTATTTTGTTATTTTTCTCTCCCTTTATTAAATAAAGTCTTTCATATCCAACGGAAACGTTTACCTTTTATATTTTGATATATTAGTACCGTTATTTATAAACCACTGTATAAAATTGTTACGGTTAAGACTATGTGAGTTAAGACTATTGTGAATGTGACCCGACACTCAATCACATTAATCAATTGAAGTTTATATATAACTAATTAAAAATGACACCAATTTGACGATTATATAGCATGGAAGACGGTAAAATTACGAATGAAGCTATTTTTCAAATTTATCTACTCCAATAATTATTTGTAACATTGGTATAACCTATAATATACTTACAAAACTTTGAGAGAGTACAGACCTTCGAAGGATTTTGGCTCAATTACCTCAATACCGTTTCTTTGAAGTACCCTAGAAATTCAAGACATGGTGATGAATAAAATATAATTTATTTACCGAATTATTTTTTAAAGTACAAAATTTTAAGAAATAAACTGATGGTGTGCTTTTCTTGGCAGATTTGGACAAGTGTTATTATCTCTAGTGAATAACTCATCTTATAAGTAAAAACGTTAGCACTCTAAAGTTAGTAATGTGTCATATTAGAGAGTGACTATTAAAAAAATATTCAATTCAATACCAAAGGTATTACATAAACAAAAGGAGGAAATTCCAAAAATTAATCATTCAGCTATATATGTATAATTATTTATAGAATGGTTGAGAAACCACAACGTTATATACTTACAAAATAACAAGCTTTGTGAGATTTATGAAAGCATAATTCGGAATTATTCGAATGTTGTTGGCAGCTAGGTTCCTACGGAAAGAAAATAGATTAAATAGTAAATATATAGTTTTTAATATTAACACTATTTGAAACCCTACAAGCACATTATTTACAAAATCAACACTCAAAAATAATCTAAATTACTTTTAGAACATTGATCTATTTTTCGAAATAATTCTGAAGTTTAGTAATTTGTGAGAAGTATACGGCCCTCCGGTGGGTCATTGGGTAGTTTGCGAACTTACAACGCTAAAATTTGGGATTTTAGCTAAGTAAATAACAACAACATTATCCAACTATCATTATATTTCTTAGGTTCCATATTGTCCAACATAGTAAAGTGGGTGAAGATGGTTTGTTTCTTTGAAGTTAAGCACAAAGCTGAACAATGGGCTATCTGTGCTCTGCCCACCACGAGTATCAAAACCCGGATTCTAGCGTTGTAAGTCCGCAGACATACCGCTGTACCACTGGGAGGGGGTGAAGATGGTTAAAATTAGATTTTCTTTTGTCAAACCTTTTCGATACTTCGCAACGTTTTAAAAATTCCTTTTCTATCATATAAGTCTTAAAATACGTAAACAAAAAAAAGAGTCCGCAAAGATATATTTCTGAGTTTTTCATATTTTTTACATGTAAAACTAATGCTGAAACTAACAAGTGCGTTTGAACAAAAATGTTCAAACGCACTTCGGTAAACATGACTAGATAGTTTTGAAATAGAACATATCTTAATTATAAATGAAATACTGACTTACACGGCCTGCAACTGTGGTAATTCCCCTAGGGCTGTTACTGGAACTTCTGTCAAAAGATTTTCATCTAGCCATAGCTTCTGTAAATTCTTTAAACTTGACAGGCTTCCCATGGGAATATGTGCGAGTTTGTTTCCATTAATATGTCTGAAAAAATATTGCCAACAAACTTGTAAAAATTCTAAAGTTATCTAAATATATTCTATGAGCTATCTAATTTAATTAGGAGTACGCAAAGTCATAAAATCAAAACTTATAGTGAATATAATGCACTGATTCATCAGTTGGATACCCTTGCTGTTATCGGTATTTTTGGCCACAATCCCAATAATATCTCGCGAGGTTCGGCGACTTTAGGAGATTTAGGTTAATTCAAAATTCATGCACCAAACTAACAAAAGCATAATAATTCTTATAATAATTATTTAATATATAATAAATAAATGAAAACAATAACATAGATATTATATATATATATATATATCTTACACATTTTAACTAATACTCTTAATGTAATTAACGTTAAAGAAAAGAACACCTAAAACTAGTTAGCTTGGTTCATGCATTATCATTATTTCCTCTAGCACTCGACTCGCAATCTGCGGGTTCGAAT